CCGCCGCCTGTTGCGGCCGCCGCCTGTAGCGCCGCCGCCGCCTCCCGCAGATCCTGGTGCAGGTCAAGGAGGTCCTCAGCAAGCTGCCCACCTTGGTGGAGACCACGTTGGAGGAGGTCAGTGGCCTCCAAAAACGCCGTCTTTGGGGGGGGAAAACACCCGCCAGAGCGTGCTGTAGCGTCAGGGTGTTGTCCACCTTGTGCCAGACGGAGCAGGTGACGGTGTGCGGCGACACCCACGGGCAGTTCTACGACCTCCTCAACATCTTCGAGCTCAACGGCCTCCCCTCGGAGGCCAACCCCTACGTATCCTCCACGCTTCTCGCGGCGGGGTGGGTTCTTTCCGGGTGAAAAAAGGGAAAAAACACCCACAGGCTCCTTAACAACCTGCCAGATCTTCAACGGGGACTTCGTGGACCGCGGCTCCTTCTCGGTGGAGGTCATCCTCACGCTCTTCGGCTTCAAGCTCCTCTACCCCGACCACTTCCACCTGCTGCGAGGTAGCGGGAGGCTGCGTTTGGGGGTGATTTTCACTCGTTTCGGGGGGTTTTTCACCCGCGTTCGGGGTCGGGGCGCAGGGAACCACGAGACGGACAACATGAACCAGATCTACGGCTTCGAGGGCGAGGTGAAGGCCAAGTACACGGCGCAGATGTTCGCGCTCTTCAGCGAGGTCTTCGAGTGGCTCCCGCTGGCCCAGTGCATCAACGGCAAAGTGCTGGTGCGCGGCCACCCCCTGTCACCCGCTGTCACCCGCTGTCACCCCCCTGCCACCCCCTGTCACCCCCCTGGTTGTGCTGGGCTTGGGTGGCTCGTGGTGGCCCCGGGGCTTCCTTGGTGGATCTTCTCCCTGCGTTGGCTTGGGGGTCTCGTCCTCTGGGACATTGGGTGTTGGGGACCCCCTTGTCCCCTGTCCCCAACCCTGGTGCCATCGGGGTCCCCCTTGTCCCCAATCCCGGTCACTTCAGGGTCCCTCTTGTCCCCAGTCTGGTGGCTTTGGGGTCCCCCTTGTCTCTATCCCCAACCCTGGTGGCATCAGGGCACTGCGTCCCCCTTGTCCCCACTGTGGGTGTCCTTTGTCCCTAGTCCTGGTGGCTCTGGGGTCTCCCATGTCCCTAGTCCAGGTGGCTCTGGGGTCCCCCTCATCCCTGTCCCCAACCCTGGTGGCATCGGGGTCCCCCTTGTCCCTAATCCTGGTGCCTTTGGGGTGTTGGGTCCCCCTTGTCCCCAACGCAGGGGGGTTCCGAGGTCCTGCCCGTCCCCTGTCCCCTGCGCGGGGGGTCCC